CAAGGCAGATATCACACTATGGAAAGCTTACAGGCATGCATCTATTTTAAGAGCATGGGCTATGTACCCACACATATACAAAGGCGCACGTGTACATAAGCATTTCAAGCACTTATAAACACTTACGGGTATCCTGCAGCAAGGTGGGGGTGGGACATTTCTTCAATAAAATTTGCAAATTTTACGGAAATGACTGAAACCAACTAAAGCTTTGATGCTGAAGATTATTTTAATGATCTGTCCCTCTGTTTGTCTTTTTCTCCACTTTAGTAATAAATCTGCCCCTGGAAGCAGTATGTGCTGCTTGGGGTTGAACACCATGCCTCTAGTCCTGCTGCCTTCAGAATCCAGCTTTAGGCCTGGGCAGCCTACAAGTCTTTGGGTCTCTGAGTGCACTCGGAGCTCGGATGAAGTCTTTTCTTGAGCTGAGTGAGTGCCACTGCCAGCTCTGTATGCAATGAACAGGGCTTGCCTTTGCCTTTGGAAATTACAGATTTTCTTTATAGACTTTTAACTCCTATATCTTCAGATACTTATGTTCTGTGCCCACCCACCCCTCAACTCCAACATGTACCCACACTTCCTGCATGCCCTTCCCCTTCCCAGCCACTCACAGGAAAGAAAGGTCAGTTGGGGTCTATGCTGGGCTGCTGACCACCTTGAGTGTTTCTTGTTCCTGGAGCAGTTCTAAAACTGTTTTATGAGGTTTCAGACCGCCCCAGTGAACTGGAAAGATATTTTTGGAGTTAAGTTTCTAGAACACAGCGAAATGATCCTACTAAGTTATACCCTCCAAATTGACAAAATCTGCAAAGTCTGACAATACCAAGTGTTGGTGACGATGTGTGTAGAACCTTTTTTTTTTTTTTGAAACAGAGTCTTGCTCTGTCGCCCAGGCTGGAGTACAGTGGTGTGATCTCAGCTCACTGCAAGCTCTGCCTCCCGGGTTCATGCCATTCTCTTGCCTCGGCCTCCAGAGTAGTTGGGACTACAGGTGCCCGCCACCACGCCCAGCTAATTTTTTGTATGTTTAGTAGAGATGGGGTTTCACTGTGTTAGTCAGGATAGTCTCCATCTCCTGAACTCGTGATCCACCCACTTCGGCCTCCCAAAATGCTGGGATTACAGGCGTGAGCCACCACACCCAGTGTGTATAGAACTTTTATACCCTGCTGGAGGGAATGTAAACTTATACTACCACTTTGGAAAACAGTTTGGCAATATCTCGTGAAGTTGAAGATAAGCATAACTAATGCTTACCTTCTAGTTCCATTTATCTAATGTACCATAGAGAAATGCAGGCACACATGCACCAGCGTACATGCACAGGGATGTTCATGTACAGGAATGTCCATGGGGCTATTCTCAACTATGAATGCAGAAACTGGAAACAATCCACATATCCATCATCAGGAGAACAGATAAATTGTAGTATATTCATACAATAGAATGCTACACAGCAATAAAAATGAATGAACCACAAGACACAAAAACAACATAGATAAATATTAAAAATATAAAATTGAATGAAAAAAACCCAACACACACACACACACACACACTTCTGTAAGATTCTATGTATTTAACATTCAAAAAAGGCAAAACGATTACATTTAGGAACGCATCCTTCAATGATGAAACTATAAAGAAAAACAAGGAAGATGCTTAACCTAAAAGTAAGGATAAACGTTCCCTTGAGGGAAGGGTATGAGTAGGAGAGAGCATGTGGGGGCCTTTCGGGGTGTTAAAATTGGTCTGTTTCCTGAGCTGGTTGGTGGTTACATAGGCATTTTGTTCACAGTAATTTTTTAAACTACATTCATTGTTTATACACTTTTCTATGCATGTGTCATTTTTCATTGTTTAAAGCAAAAACTTACCCAAAATCATTCCACTAAGCAGAGCTGCTCCCAGAGCTGATTTTACCAAAAGGTAAACTCAAAATAGTTCAGATTCCATTTCTCTCTCCTTCCTTCCTCTTTCATCTGCAAATGAAGTTTCCATTCCTACCTCCTCCTATATACTTAAGGTGGAACTGTGGCTGTAGCCCATAAATGTGTGCTTGCTTATACTGCCAACCATTGATCTTACTCCGGGCAAAATGCCTCTCCAATCTGACCCCTTTTGTCTTGTCTGACCTCCAAAGAACTCCCATTGGGACTCAAGAATATTCAAGGACCAGGAGCAGAATTTAACTTCCATTCCTCCTGCAGAACCAAGCTGAAGAGGGACTGTTTTTTCAATTTACCCAACATTCTGCCTTTTCAATTACTGCAGACTCCAGACAGTCAGCTGGCATGAGCCTTGAGACAAACTCGAGCAAATACAATGCACCACTATTCGGGCACAGGGGCCCAGATCCATCTGAAGACTACTGTCACACTTCAGCACCCTATCACCTTAGCCTCTCTAGTTGGGGAAACCTCCTTCCCGAACTCAACTTTAATCCTGTTTAATGGGACTATGGGATATAGTCACAGTTCTGCCTAGAAATTCCCTTGGAAGAGCTATTGTTTGAAGTTCCTGTTAGGAAAAACTGATGCTTGCCGGGCAGATGGCAATGATTTGAAGACACTTACAGGGTTGATTAGAAAGAGCCCTGGACCAGGAACCAGAAGGCCCTATACTTCCTAGCACTGTGATTTTGGCCAAGTCATCTAATTTCCTTGATTCTCACACTACCCAGGAACAAATGGACTAAATGTATATGGAATGCTTTACAAAACATAATATGCTATATAAATGTAAGGGATTATTATTATTAAGGTCCAATCTTTGCTACTAAACATACCACAGTTTTGGCAAGGAGATACTCTCACTGATGTAACTAAAACTGTTTTTTGCAGATGATACCACCCTGCTGGGACAGTGGTACTGCATCAAATTCACCCATACTCCCTCCTGAGCAGGAGGGCTCAGCTGTTGGACAAGGCTGTAATGAGACTGTGATCCTTGGACAAGCCCAGCCCACTGGCCTTCTCAGAGACTGAGCACCTGACCTTAGCCTCCAGAGCACTGTACTCTCCCCCCAAATCTATCTTTCTCAAGCTGTGTTCTCCAGGCAGAATGGCAACTGTTTGGCTGCCAAGGTCAGGTGAAAGCAGAAGAGGTTGCTGTTGTTCCTGTCCCTATAGAAGAGCAATCCCTTTCTTAAAGGGGCATTGCACATTTGGATGGTTCTGGGGGCCTAGGAAAACACAGGCACCTCCCAATATGGGACCTTGGTTTAATTCCTTTTGAATGCATCTGAAAGAACCAGAAAGTGGTTTTAACTAGGAGGAAGAGTCCGAAGCCTGCATGAAGTCCATTGGTAGTGGGATGGTGCTGAACATCCACAATGTCATCATTCCAGCTGCTAACATTGAGGAAGGAGATACTCAAGATGCCCAGGGTCCTAGTTCTTTGAGAGAACCCCTTGAAGAGAGTGGCAGACAGCGAGGAGGAGGCTGACGCAGTTCTGTTGGCCACCCTGATCTGTCTACAAATTTCAGGATCCAAAACCCTTACCCCTCTCATCAGACCTCATAACTGATATGATTAAGGACCTACCAACCCTCCCAGAGCCAACAGCCATATTCAGAAAACACCTCATCATAGCATTGGAGGAGCTAAGCCCACGGGCAGGTGGAAAAGGAACTGGTGTTCACTTTCTGGGAAAATTTTTAGGAGTGGAAGGAGTGTGCTGAAACCGATCCTTGTAACTTCAATATTTCATCATCTTTGTGCCAGCTCTCTTGGCAAAGTAATGTAGGAATGTTTGTCCTCAATCTCTCCTTGGTCAGAGCCTTGTTTAATTTAACCATTTCAAAGCATTTTCATACTGATTAGTGTACTTTGTATCCTCTCAGCAATCATACGGAGTAGGCAGGGTACTATTCTCACTGTCCAGATGGAGAAGGTAGGACATGGCTGCTTGGCAGCTCAAACAGAGAGTAAGGAACTCATCCTGTCCTGACTCCGAGCCTGCTGCTCTTTCTGCCACAAACTACTACATCTACTAATCATAGATCAAAGAACCTTAGCTCTTTCAGGATATTCCCCCAAAAGTCCACTTTTTCTTAAGGAATATTGATATGTTTACAGTCATTGTGCTATTAAATTTACCACTTACAGTAACGCTGTAAACCTTAAAGAAATAGATTTCCACTCAGAGCAGCAGCTCTTTGAGTCACTGTTTCAAGTATCAGTCCAAGAACCAGATGCGAGTCAATGAAACGTATCCATGAAGTTTCTTACTAGTAATATTGAATAATGATCGTTAGTTACTTTTTGGGTGACTGAATGATTTCTCTTCTATATGTTAAGGCATCACAGCAAAAAGACTGTCAACATTAATACAGTATCTGTAACAACTCCCTGCTCCCATCATCATGTCACACACCACTAGATGAAAACCATAGCACCACCTCTACAACTCCCAGAGCCCAGTCAGAATAGTATGGTGTCTTTGTCTATGAAAATTGCATGACTTCTCCATTTATCCTGGGCATGACTAGTCTGAATGCTGAGTATGGAACATTACTTATTAGTAATCATTTTTATGTCTTCTTCCTCTAAAATGAATTTCACATGGATTCACACACATAAATACAGGAGTATGAACCAGAACAGTTAGAGAAGTTAGGAACCATATACGAAGGAAGGAGATGACTCCATCTTAAAACTGGAGGTAAGATACTTATTGTACCTTTACATTTCATTGAGTTGTAAGGTCTCTGGAAGTCAAGGTAAAAATGGAAAGACATTGATTATATGATTAAGAGGATTTTATAGATGAAAAAAAGAAGGTACAGTATTGGCATTTCTACTTAACTGATTTTCTTTGTCACCAACAATTTGGCATAGTTTTGGATGAATCTTTTATGTGCATTTTCCCTTTCATAGAATAGGATGGGTTAAGTCTAGTCAGCACATGTGTTAGCTGAAAATTTACTGTGGGATGTTTGGTACACTTTTGAGCTTGATCAAGAAAAAGATATGGAAACCAGAATCTTCCTTACCTCTTCCAGTTTATCCACTCGCCCCACCAGTTTGGTGGTGACTGAATGTAGCTTCAGGAGATCCAGGCCATAGAACGCTCCTTCCAACATGTCTATGATTGTGGAGAGCTATGAAACAAGGCAAGGGGTTAGTCCAGGGCTGGGGCAGACAGACACAGGGCAGTTTCCTTTCAGGTCTGCATGCTGGGGGCTCGACAGGAAAGTCACTAGCCAGGAATTGAGAGGTTGCCACGAGAAACACATTTGTGTAGGCAGGGATGTAGGCAAGCACAATGGTGTATGTGCATTCTGCCTTCTGAAATGTTTGGGTAAGAAAATGGGAAAGTCCTATAAGAACAAGTAAACCTGAGGTCTAGACCTCTTCACAAACTGTTTATACCTCTTTTACGAAATCTGTCAATTGCATTGACATCTGTCTTTCCTACTAGACTGTGAACTCCTTAAAAGTAGTGTCTCAATAGCAAAGACATGGAATCCACCTAAATGCACATCAATGACAGGCTGGATAAAGAAAATGTAGTATGTATACACCATGGAATAATATGCAGCCATGAAAAACATGAGATTATGTCTTTTATGAGAACATGGATGGAACTGGAGGCCATTATCCTTAGCAAACTAACACAGGAACAGAAAACCAAGTACCACATGTTCTCACTTACAGGTGGGAGCTAAATGATGAGAACTCAGACACAAAGAAGGGAACAACAGATACTAAGGCCTGCTTGAGGGTGGAGGGTAGGAGGAGGGGGAGGAGCAGAAAAAATAACTATTAGGTACTAGGCTTAGTAGCTGGATGACAAAATAATCTGTACAACAAACTCCCGTGACGTGAATTTACCTCTATAACAAACCTGCACGTGTACTCCTAAACCTAAAATAAAAGTGAAAAAAAGAAAGCAAGCAGTGGCCATGTATCCTTCATCTCTGCTTCCCCAAGACAGCTGGCTCATAACAGGTATTTTTATTGTATAAACACTCAACAAGGTGGCTCTACATGTCAACACCTTGAGGATATGCTTCTGAAACACTCAACTTCATTATCTACTAAAGGCTCTGAAAGACATCAACAGGTTCTCCTTAGCACAAAATGCTAAACTGACCCTGGGGTAAAAGAGGACTCAGTGTCCCATCTTTGAGACTCTTGCTCTATGGCAAGCTGCCATAGTACACCCAGCCTTCTCAGTTTTTATCAATACTGTCCTGCCTGCTAGTACAGAGGCCCTGGGAGGAAGGTGGCCAAGGCTCTGGCAGCACTGAGGGCATGCAGAGCGCAGGTGCCAGAAGCACTTTATATGGTCATCCATTCATTCATTTACATGATCATGCCTAGCTGAATGTCTGGTATTGTGCCAAGTACTTCCCAGTTGTTATCTCATTGATCCTTATAACCCCACCAAGTAGATGTTATTATTCCCACATGTTATTCAAAGAGCTGGGGGCAGACAAGTTAAATAACTTAAGTGGGATCACACAGTGATGATTTGAACCCAAATCCGTCTGACTCCAAGACCCAGCTTGTTCCACTACCCAAGGCTGCAAGGGAAGTGGGGGTGCAGGATCAGAAGAAGCCCTCAGCCAACCCATGGGGCTGCCTAAGTGGGGCCTGAGCTTCCCTACCCTATAGACCATGAAAGGATCACAGTTTGATGACCCAATCTAGAGCAGGCCCCAGGCCTCTCCTTCCCTAGGCCAACCCAGCCCTTGCGCTAAGGACCAAAGGCTTACTCGCATTTTTCTTTTGCATCTTTGGGGTGTGTCCTGGGCTGACAGTAAATTGTGGCACCAATTTTCCTGAAGAACACTGAGTTCTTTTGGCCAGCTGGGCCTGGCAGCTGCTCCCAGGCCCAGCCTCTCTGGCTCCATAAGGAGGGGCAAGCACACTTTGCTTGAAGCATCTCCCTTATACACCAGAGCTGAAAAGGACAAGTTTGCCAGGACATCAACCTTGATCCACACACAGCACTCTAGGGACCAGGCCTGACCTTCTTCAAAGGGTTTACAATCTTTAACCATGGCCCTGCCAGACTTGCGGGTCTCAAAAGTGCCCTCTCATCCAAGGCATTGCCCCATACCAGGTCCTACCTTCAAGTCCTGGCTGTCCACCTCCCGCAGCTTCTGGAGCCTGAAGTCTCCCTCGCAGGGATTGAGGGCAGATGGGGGTGCGACACAGGCACACTTGCAGGATGAGCCTGAGGTGATGGTTTCCACGGTGTAGAAGTCTTCCTTCCTGGAGGCCCCCGCATTGATCCTCTGGCAGGCATCCCGGCCCAGGGGTCTCACCACACACTTGCACTGACAGTCCGAGCCCTCAGACATAGCCTTGACCTTGTCATAGTCCCCCAGCAACTAGATACACAGAAAATGGGTTGGGGGCGTGCAAACACAGGTGTCAGTCAGCCTCCAGAAGGAGGCTCTCCATTTACTTAGTCAAACGTCAGAGACCTCAGACAACTCTGAACCATGGAGCCAATAGGTCATCGAGATGCAGTTTGCTGACTGACATTTCCTTGAAGGCATTCAGAATTCAGGTCTCTTCGTTTGTCTTGGAAAGCTGTGCCTTTCTCATGGGGACTTAGCTTTTCATTATTTAAAGGAAAAAACAGATGAGCCCTGTCATTTGTCCAATAGCCTTTGCTTTCTATTTCTTTTCTTTTTTTTCTTTTTCTTTTCCTTTTTTTTTCCTTTCCTTTTTTTTTTTTTTTTTTTTTTTTTTGAGACAGAGTCTTGCTCTGTTGTCCAGACTGGAGTGCAGTGGCATGATCTCAGATCACTGCAACTTCCACCTCCCAGGTTCAAGTGATTCTCTTACTTCAGCCTGCCAAGTAGCTGGGATTACAGGTGCATACTACCATGCCCAGCTAATTTTGTATTTTCAGTTTCACCTTGTTTGCCAGGCTGGTCTTGAACTCCTGACCTCAAGTGATCCACCTGCCCTGGCCTCCAAAAGTGCTGGGATTACAGGCATGAGACACCGTGCCCAGTCAGAATCCAGGTGTAAATGTAAAAAGGAAAAGAAGAAATTGGAGAGATTGAAAAGTTGGTATTCAAGTTTGAAGACTACTGGCATCTCTCATTCGTTTATTCAACATTTATGGAGTGCCTACTAAGGACTCTGAGGTGCTATGAAGGATAAAGAGATGGGCCAGACGGAGAGCCTGCTCTCAAGAAGCCTTCAGTGCAGGAGGCATATAAATAGCAGTCGCACAGAGTAGAGAGTGATAAGTGCCCCTGAAGAGGCAGAGAGAAAGGGCAGTGGGAGCTAAGAGTGGCTCCAACTGGAAGCCAGGGAAGACTTCTTCGAGGAGTGGCATTTAATCTGGGCCTTGAAGGATGGCTTAGATGTGGAGAAAGGGAATTGAGAGGAAAGAGACAGGTCCAGAAGTCAGTAAGGTTTACTCAGTCTAGGAGTTTATGCTTCTGAACCCAAACCCCAGGCCAAACCCAGGAGAGCAAACTGGCAGCACTTGCTGCTTTTGCAATGCTAAACATTTCCTTCTGGGCACATGCCCCTGCCAGCCTCCCCAGGCAGGAAAACACACGGCAGTAGGCTTTCTGGAGCCCCAACCCTGGGCACTTGCTGGGAAAAGGCTCTTATCTCCCAATCCTCTCCAAAAGGCCCTACATCTCCAAAGCCAGGGCTCCCTTCCTAGGCAAGCAGAAGGGTTCCCTTCATTTGACTAATGATTCCGGTAGGCAAGCATTGAGCTTGTTTGAGTGGAAATGCTCCTTGGGATGCTGTCTGGGGGGAAGAAGACTTATAATGTTTTCCTTGCAAAGGCTGAGTTTCTTCTAATACTAATATTTGCTTTAGGGCTGTTGTCAAATACAGCATAGATCAGTGGAAGAAGGTGGTGGAGTTAAGGGTGACTTAAGCGACTGTTCTTTATGGGTTGATAGTAAATTGTGGCTGTCTGATCTCTGAAACTCTGCCTGGATTCCTACATAACCCTGCTCTGAGAACCCTGGGTGGATTCCTTCCTTTCAGGAGGCTCGGGTTTCAGGAAAGTTTTGGTTGATCGTGTTCCAGAGCCCCAATGTGAGAGATTTTTATGTCTTTTCAATTTCGAGGTCAGTGGGAGGTAATAGGTGGGCAGAGGGCATATATTAGCATCATTATTAAAGGAAGAGTGAAGAGGCTAGTGTTTGATAAATCCCAAATTGCAGCTGATTATTCTCTCTACAGGAAGGAGACAAGGCCCAGTCCCAGGGCTTGGTGGAAGTGAAGGTACAGGCAACGCTGGAGGATCCTTTCTCAGACATCCGCCATTCTAAGGATTCTGGTGACACTCACCACACGTCATCATGCCGGCTCTGGAGAGCACAAAATAAACACTCCAGAGAGAACTACCCCTTACAGACATGAGATCTGGGCTGAAGACTGTCAGAAGCCCTGGCTCTACCTTTGTATCTCTTGTTTTTTTGGAGACGGAGGAGTCTCACTCTATCACTCAGGCTGGAGTGCAGTGGCCCGATCTCTGCTCACTGCAATCTCTGCCTCCCGCTGGGTTCAAGCGATTCTCCTGCCTCATCTTCCCAAGTAGCTGGAACTACAGGTGCCCACCACCACGCCTGGCTAATTTTTGTATTTTTAGTAGAGATGGGGTTTCATCACATTGGCCAGGCTGGTCTCGAACTCCTGACCTTGTGATCCGCCTGCCTCAGCCTCCCAAAGTGCTGGGATTACTGGCGTGAGCCACCCACTCCCGGCCTACCCATGCATCTCTTTATCTGTAGATGGGTATTAGGGTGTTTTGAAGACTGAGTCATAAAAAACAAGTTTAAGTACTTGGTAAACAGACACTTTACAAAGCCCACTGCTATCATGGGTTACTCGGGCCCCCACTGACCGTCTGCCCCAGCTGCCCGCATCTGCATTCCCACCCTCCCCTCCCAATACACCCCGTCATGTTCTCAATCTCTCTGTTTGAGGGTCACCTCACATTCACCACACGTTTCTGTTCTGACTTCACCCCATGCTCCCGCCTGGTGTCTCACCCTCTGCCATAAAATATCTCCCGATGGGATATGCCATCTGCCTCCTGGTCAACATACCCGCCTGTTTTCACATTCCAATCTGACAGACACATAGACAAGAGATAACTTTTCACAACCCTGAAACCAAAAACAACTTTTTTTTTCTTTCTTCTCAAGAAGTCGAGCGGCATCTTCCCTTCCTTCACGTCTCCTTTCTCCTGATTAAAGACCCTATGATTTTGAGAGGAGAACTTATATCCTTCCATTAAGAAAATATTCTGATACATGAAAATCAAATGCCCTTTCCATTGGTAATGGAAGGAAAAACAGCTGCCCTTAAACATTTCAGCAAGGACCAGCTTCTGGCTCTCACCACCATTCAGGGCAAGAAGAGCGGTCGTGGCACGCGGCATCCTACCTGAGATAAAACGTTCTCCTGGTTGTCCGCCTCGTTTTGCAGAGTCTCATCCTCCGTAGGCGCCACTGTTTGCGCATCTGGGGGCTCGCTTGTCCCTGTGGGGACAATGCTGGACACCCAGGCCGGAATCACAATCAGAACGAAGTAGAGAACTAGCAGCCGAGGCTTGGCCATGAGGGGCGGGATAAGAGGGTCCTCAGCCCCTTCAGAGAATGGCTGGGGCGGGGGGTCTCGGCAAGGACTTCTGCGACAGGGTGTCCTAGCTAGAGGCCGAAAGTGGCTGCTCAGAGCACCTTCTAAAGCTGGGTGCGACTGAGCGGAACGGGAGGGTGCGCCCCAGAGACTCTGGGCATCTCCTTCCCGACGCGAGCAGCCCTCGACTGTGCAGCCCCAGTGGAGAGTCGGACGCAGGGAAGAGGGGAGGCGGGCAAGGGCTAGCTGAGTGCGTCGCCCGCAGGAGGGCTCAGGTGGCTGGAAGGCGTTCGGACAGACGCCCGCGGTGCGCGCCGGGACGGTCGGCGGGGAGCCTCGGGGAGCACAGGGACCTGGCACCGGGCGGGCAGAGGCGGTGGCGGCGCGGGTTGCGAAGGCTGCTGGGCTAGGGAGCCGCGGAGAGCTCGCGCGGAAGGAGGGCGGAGCCTCTATTGTGCCGGGGCGGCGGAGATGCAGCCAGTGACCGCGCGGAGGAGGAGAACCGGGAAGCGCACAGGACTCGGGCGGAGGGGGACTCGGGCGGAGGGGGACTCGGGCGGAGGGGGACTCGGGCGGAGGGGAACCCGGCGGACCCCGCCCCCGCTGGGGCTCAGCTGCCGCGCGCCGGCTGGGGGTGACGTCGGAAGGGCTTTTCTTTCCTTTCATCTGATCGCAAGTGAGTGGAGAGAAGTTACCCTGAGCGGCCTCCCTGAAGTCTGGGGGTTTGCCCATTCTCGCCTAGAAGAGCGACTTTCCATCGCAGGCACCCAGCCCTCGCTCCAATCCCGAGTCAGTTGGAGATCTGCGGCATCCTCCTTTTGCACACCTGGGGCAAGGAAGAAGGCGCGTTTGTTCCCAGGCATTTCTTTTCCCTTACTTAACTCTGGGCGAGTTCTCGGGCAGCTTTGAACTTAGCGCCGTTGGTAGCTGCTTGCCTGCCACGGCTTTAGAACCTAGTAATACTTCCACCCAGAGGAGAATCATTGAATTCCTTTCTGGAGTGTATCCTGAGTTGTGTAAACATTGAAAGTCAGGGGAATGACTGTACATCTCCGACACTCTCCGCGAGTCCCCATGGGGAAAGCTGCTGCCTGATAAATGATTACCAAAGGGAACAGCTCTTCCTGTCTTCCTGGTTACGGACAAATCTCCTGGTCTCTGTTACCAGACTGTCTCTAAGAGAGGGTCCACTTTCAATAGTGTGCAATTATGTTACTATGTCCCTCAATTACTGAGGACAACCTTTTATAAACCTACAATGAAGATTAGCAATATGTGAATTTAAGGAAGGGCACTGTGCCATCCTGGACAACTGTCACTCGGAATGTCGAACAGAGCCAGGCCCCTTCAAAGGATATTACGCACCCTTGGGAAATTCAAGCACCTTGCTTCTTATGCTGAGGAATAAGGGTTGTAACAAACTAAGGAAACTAGCGCATATAAGTAATAGTTGACGTACGTGTAATAATAACCCCTATTACTATATTTTAATCTTTAAAAAACTCAGCTTATGGACAAAAATTCAATGCTCTGGGTGTCTGAGTTTGTGGGGACATCATGCACACACTCTCTGTGTAAGCTATCAAATCTTTTCTGAAGCTATATGGGGATAAACATTGATAAAATGCAGTGTATTTGATTGTTTGTTTGTTTGAGACAGTCTTGCTCTGCTGCCCAGGCTGGAGTGCAGTGGCGGGATAATCTTGGCTCACTGCAACCTCCACCTCCCAGGTTCAAGTGATTCTCATGCCTCAGCCTCCAGAGTACCTGGGATTACAGGTGCATGACACCATGCCCATTTAATTTTTTGTATTTTTAGTAGTCAGGGTTTCGCCATGCTGGTCTCGAACTCCTGGCCTCGAGCCATCCATCCGCCTTGCCCTCCCAAAGTGTTGGGATTACAGGGGTGAGCCACTGTGCCCCACCGATAAAAAGTAGTTTTAAAATTCAATTAAGGGGCGGAGTGTGGTGGCTCACCCCTGTAATCTCTACTAAAAACACAAAAATTAGCCTAGCCTGGTGGCATGCACCTGTAATCCCAGCTACTCTAGAGGCTGAGGCAGAAGAATCGCTTGAACCCTGGAAGCAGAGGTTACAGTGAGCAGAGATCCGCTACTGCACTATAGCCTGGGCTACAGAACAATACTTGGTCTCAAAAAAAAAAAAAAAAAAAAAAAAAAAAAATCAATTAAAGTAAACATTGAATGTTGGCCAAGTGCAAGACAACAAACTAGGTCGCTATACATTTAATGGGAAGATGAGGTAGTTCACGTCTTACAAAGTGGGGGTGGGAGTCAGGAGGTAAGCAGAATAAGCACTGAAATTGTGAGGCAGAGTAAGAACATATCTCATGGGGTTTAAATAAGGAATTGGTAACTTCTAGTGGAAAGGTCAGTGTGGATTTCATGAAAGCATGATACTGAAGATGACTGGGATGATGGGAAGTTTCAACAAAACAGTGGATAAGGCAACATGATGCGGTCGGGGGTCGGTGGCAGGGGAGAGAAAGAGAGCATTCTGGGCAAAGACATAATCCTGAATGTGCATATTCGCATTTCAGAGGGCTGCTCACTTCTCAGGGCAGCCTTCCTTGACTCCACCACCAGCATAATTTCTCTGTTAAATGCTCCCATAATACCACATACCTCTTTTTTATAGAAACAGGAGAGATGGATATTTATACTCCTTTGTGGGTTGTTTTGGGGGTGCCTGTCTTCTCCACTAGATTATAAATTCGAGAGGGCAAGGACCTTGTTGGTTTTGCTCACCATTACATCTTCAGAGTTTAACCAGTGCCTAGAACAAAGTGGACACTAAATAATATTGGTTGAATGAATGGGAACTACAAATAGTTCAACTGGGTGTAGGCTCAGTTACCTTTATAAATACCATCTCTGTATCCATTAGGGTGCATTTGACTGCAAGTGATAGAAAATCCTTCTAGGAATGTCTCAATCAAATACACATTTATTATCCCACTCTAAGAAGACAAGGTTGGCTGTTTAAAATTTAATTCAGCAACTCAGTGATATCAGCGAGGACCCAAGCCCTTTCCATTTTCCACTCCATTTTTCTTACAGCATTGGCTTTTTGACCTAGTCATAATTGATTTAAGCAAGTTCCAGCTACTCCTGTACCAGACATTCAATTTCCCAGTCTCCTTTACAGCTAGGGGTAACCACCCAGACAAGATATTTTGCTTCCTCATAAAATAAACAAATAGAAGAGAGAACCTTTCTGGTGCTACTCTTCCCCGACTTCTTGTCTTTGATTGTGTCTTTGACCACAGTCAACATGTTATAGAACCAACAGGTTCTTATGTCTTCTGCACAGTAACAGGCCACTTACACTGTATCAGCAGGGTTTGCATCAGAGAAAGAATTTGATGATTGCAGGGCACCAAGTCAGGAGATGGGAGGAGACCCTTGAATCCATCTCTCTGGGAGTTCTGGGCTGGGAGTTTTAAGGGGATTGTGGAGAGTGAGGGGTTAAAAAATTGAGGTCATTGATTGGTTGGGCCAAGGGGATGGAACAAAGTTCCATCATCAGGATGTGGAAACTGCCTTCTTTGGTGAGTCAGGATCTCATGGGGTCCTTCAAACCAGCTGAGTCATTAGCTTCATCAGCATGCGGGATCCAAAGGAGTATCTCAAAGGGAAAACATAACGCTTCATAACGTTCAAATTGTTTTCCATAGAACAGTTAAGGGACACTATAATCTTTTTGTGTATATATATATATACTTTAAGTTCTAGGGTACATGTGCACAATGTGCAGGTTTGTTACATATGTATACTTGTGCCATGTTGGTGTGCTGAACCCATCAACTTGTCAGCACCCATCAACTCGTCATTTACATCAGGTATAACTCCCAATGCCATCCCTCCCTCCTCCCCCCCCCCATAATAGGCCCTGGTGTGTGATGTTCCCTTTCCTGTGTCCAAGTGATCTCATTGTTCAATTCCCACCTATGAGTGAGAACATGCGGTGTTTGGTTTTCTGTTCTTGCGATAGTTTGCTGAGAATGATGGTTTCCAGCTGCATCCATGTCCCTACAAAGGACATGAACTCATCCTTTTTTATGGCTGCATAGTATTCCATGGTGTATATGTGCCACATTTTCTTAATCCAGTCTGTCACTGATGGACATTTGGGTTGATTCCAAGTCTCTGCTATTGTGAATAGTGCTGCAATAAACATACATGTGCCTGTGTCTTTATAGCATCATGATTTATAATCCTTTGGGTATATCTGCAGTAATGGGATGGCTGGGTCATACGGTATTTCTAGTTCTAGATCCTTGAGGAGTCGCCATACTGTTTTCCACAATGGTTGAACCAGTTTACAATCCCACCAACAGTGTAAAAGTGTTCCTATTTCTCCGCATCCTCTCCAGGACCTGTTGTTTCCTGACTTTTTAATGATTGCCATTCTAACTGGTGTGAGATGGTATCTCATTGTGGTTTTGATTTGCATTTCTCTGATGGTCAGTGATGACGAGCATTTTCTCATGTGCCTGTTGACTGTATGCATGTCTTCTTTTGAGAAATGTCTGTTCATATCCTTTGCCCACTTTTTGATGGGGTTGTTTTTTTCTCATAAATTTGTTTGAGTTCTTTGTAGGTTCTGGATATTAACCCTTTGTCAGATGAGCAGATTGCAAAAACTTTCTCCCATTCTGTAGGTTGCCTGTTCACTCTGATGGTAGTTTCTTTTGCTGTACAGAAGCTCTTTAGTTTAATTAAATCCAGTTTCAGCTTTCTACTTATGGCTAGCCAGTTTTCTCAGCACCATTTATTAAATAGGGAATCCTTTCCCCTTTTCTTGTTTTTGTCAGGTTTGTCAAAGATCAGATGGCTGTAGATGTGTGGTATTATTTCTGAGGGCTCTGTTCTGTTTCACTGGTCTATATCTGTCTTTTGGTACCAGTACCATGCTGTTTTTGTTACTGTAGCCTTGTAGTACAGTTTGAAGTCAGGTAGCGTGATGCCTCCAGCTTTGTTCTTTTGACTTAGGATTGTCTTGGCAATGCAGGGTCTTTTTTGGTTCCATATGAACTTTAAAGCAGTTTTTTCCAATTCTGTGAAGAAAGTCATTGGTAGTTTAATGGGGATGGCATTGAATCTATAAATTACCTTGGGCAGTATGGCCATTTTCACAACATTGATTCTTCCTATCCATGAGCATGGTATGTTCTTCCATTTGTTTGTGTCCTCTTTTATTTCACTGAGCAGTGGTTTGTAGTTCTCCTTGAAGAGGTCCTTCACATCCCTTGTAAGTTGGATTCCTAGGTATTTTATTCTCTTTGAAGCTATTGTGAATGGAAGTTCATTCATGATTTGGCTCTCTGTTTGTCTGTTACTGGTGTATAAGAATGCTTGTGATTTTTGCACATTGATTTTGTATTCTGAGACTTTGCTGAAGTTGCTTATCAGCTTAAGGAGATTTTGGGCTAAGATGATGGGGTTTTCTAAATATACAATCATGTCATCTGCAAACAGGGACAATTTGACTTCTTCTTTTCCTAAATGAATACCCTTGATTTCTTTCTCTTGTCTGATTGCCGTAGCCAGAACTTCCAACACTACGTTGAATAGGAGTGGTGAGAGAGGGCATCCCTGTCTTGTGCCAGTTTTCAAAGGGAATGCTTCCAGTTTTTGCCCATTCAGTATGATATTGGCTGTGGGTTTGTCATAAATAGCTCTTATTATTTTGAGATACATTCTATCAATACCGAATTTATTGAGAGTTTTTAGCATGAAGGGCTGTTGAGTTTTGTTCAAAGGCGTTTTCTGCATCTATTGAGATAATCATGTGGTTCTTGTCTTTGGTTCTGTTTATATGCTAGATTACGTTTATTGATTTGCATATGTTGAACAAGCCTTGCATCCTAGGGATGAAGCCTACTTGCTCATGATGGATAAGCTTTTTGATGTGCTGCTGGATTCAGTTTGCCAGTATTTTATTGAGGATTTTTGCATTGATGTTCATCAGGGATATTGGTCTAAAATTCTCTT